ACTTGGTAACCAGCATATATTTATGATGGCAGCAACATCTCAAAGTTATGTGACCATCATTTGCTTAATGACCATGTGATTCACTTAACAACCATGGAAAAATATCAGGTGCAACTCACTTAACAATTGCCTTGCTTAAATAAATTTTCTCTAACAACAAAAAAAAAAAGATCAGAAATCTTGGGAAACTGTATAAAGAATGACTGAAATAGTTTTCTATATACTCCTGGTATGTGAAGATCAGTCAGTTACTAATAATTCAGCAAATATAACCCCTGAACAGAGTAAGAACAGAATTAAGCAAAACATAGCACGATTATTGATAGATTATATTTTTAGGAGGCTATAAATCTAAATATTAGATTGACAAATCATATGCAACATTTCATAAACTGAATTAGCTAACAGTAGTATCATTTTAATTTAACCACTTTGAGAATTATGCTGCAGGGTTATAGCTATAAATATTTATGAATTAATTGACCCAGCCAAAGTGCATATAGTATTGAGCAACTGTGTAACAGTGACCTTGTCATGGTAATGCAGCTGTAGCAAATAATATGGTATAAAGTGAGAACACAGCCATGTTTTTAACAAACATGTGAACAGTTTCTCCCAAAACATTTGACTCAAGATCAATATACCAAATCTCCCTCTCTCTCTCTTTTTCTCCCCCTCCCTCCCTCCCTCCTTCCTTCCTAAAAATATGCCTAATAAGACAATGCTCAATATTTTTCTAGCCTAAATTTCAACAATATATGGAATAACCACCATACATACAAGCCAGATGCATCCAAGGTCACTGCACCAAAATCGCATTGCTCTCATCTGATTAAGAATGGAAAGGTTAAGGGAATTCCAAAAAGACGTCTGTTTTTATTTTCTTGATAATGCAAGGGCTTTTGATTGTATTGGTCACAATGAATTATTGATAGCTCTTTTTTTTAAAAAAAAAAGGGTATGTCAAACCACTTGAAACAAAAATAGAATTGTATCAATAACAATTTCTTGCAGATGTACATTAGTTGGCTTATTTCTTGCAAGTGAGCTGGTGCTTATATTTGATATTTCAATATTGGCATCTTTTAATGCTTGTGAGCTTCTTTGGAACTAGCAGGCAACCTTATTCTGTTTCTTTTGTGCTCTTCTAGATGCTCAGCTGTTCTTTGCTTCAACACTTCGACTTCTTTATTAGAAGGTTTTCTTCCTTTCTGAGGCCGAGGAGAGGGTCCCTGGTTTCTAAGGAAAACAAATCAAGAACTATGTTGGCTCTACAGACTCAGCTACTTCTGCCAAGGCTTTGCCTTCTTTGCCCTGGGTGGACCTGGGCAACATTTCCAATTATGCTTCTGTGAAAAGTTTATTTCCTATAATAAACCAATATTGATGTACTAAAATAAATGAATGAATGAATAAATAAGAATTTCTTGCAGATGTAGTGCATCTGGTGTGACTTAAGAGAGTTGGATTTATCAAGGGAGACCTGGGTTCAAATGCTTGCTTGGGTGTAATACTCTTTAAAACTTTCTCTCTAGAAAACTTTTTGCCTTATAGATGTTCTGTACATTTCACTTTCTGATCAGCATTGCTCTGTTTGTTTTTTTCCTTAACTTCAGCCTCTTCTTAGGTAATGATACCCATTCAATTTTTTAGTAATCCTGTTATGGGTTTATGTGAAATGGTTTCACAGTTGGCTCCTTTTACCAGATTAATGTGTCTTTAGAACAGCTGTGTCACACTGTTGGCTTGCTTTATCTATCTATCTATCTATCTATCTATCTATCTATCTATCTATCTATCT